TAAAATTAGGGGTTGTTTCATTTTGGGCTTGGATTTATGAAGATACAGATCAACTGCAGAGCAAAGCAGCTGCATGGACGTCAGCTATTTTTTTCATGTAGTTGTGTGTTTACGTGTGTTAAAGTGTGGGTGTATAGAAAGTACTCTAACTGACGCACGCACAAATGCCCACAGGGACCAAGCCAATATTGGTGCTGTATTTTAATTCTGGCATTGCAGGAATGGACCCATCATGTCAAGGACTGAGTGAGATGGTTACAGCCCCGTGGAGCCGAGGGGGGGGGTTTGGTATCACACACTAAACAAACCCTACAGTTCTCAGTCTGGTTTTCATTAGGCCTGTAGTCTACCAATGCTGGGGTGGACACATCCAGACTGCAGCCACAGTCACCCAGCGAAGCCTCAGCACCGAGACACGGCCAAAGCAAAAGAGAAAGATGGATCACTAATACACTGTAGCACTCAGTGACCCGAACCACCCCTACAGCAGAGAATGTGAAAAAATACACAGCAAACACTTGTAAAAACAATACATTCACAGGCATGCTGCTATGCACCATTGAACAGTCTCCAAGGTGTTATCAGCTGTTATCACTGCAATTGGAGCAATAGGGGGTCGTTTCCTGCAAGAAAGTGTTGGTCTTTGGTTCTTGTTACCATTGCTAACTCTGAGAGACGAGACAGTCCAAGTAACTACAAAACAGTGCTGATTTATTCAAAGGACCACAGGTAAAATTAACATTACACGCTCAGGTATCTTGCACCTCCAAACTGCACGCAGGCAGATGTAAGATGAAAGACCCTGAACCCACCAGGCCTATACATTATATTCCCTCGGCTAGCCCCCTACTACACAGAAACGTCAACCGAGACGTCTCTGCTACCAGCTTTGCAGCTGGTCATAGCAGTAGTCAAAACATGAAGCAAAGCAATGTGCGTGTGTGTGTGTGTGTCTGTTGATTAAGTGGTGTGTAACTAAAAACATTCTCACACGACCTCTAGTGACATGTCATGACATTAAACATAAGAACATATTATGGCTAAGGCTACAGTTATACACGTCATAATAATAATATTAAACACCCTGTCTGCTGACAGTCATCAACTCTTCTCTCTAGTTATCCTTGACCAGATGTACCCTGTAGAAACTCATAAGCATGCCTAAGCATTTAACAGTCTAACTAGACATCCTATCTCCACTAAACATTTCTAATACATACAAGTACCTAACCAATATCTATCTGACTAAAAATACCTAACAAAAGGAACTTAAATGTGATGACTCATTGCTTTTTGCTTCTTCTCCCAGCAACTGCTCAGCTGTCATTACAAGTACAGATCGCTTTTCCACTTTTCCTCTGAACATATTCCTCAACTCATCAATCCTTCTGAAGCCGCCGTGCCCTGCAAAGCCCTTCAACAAAGCAAACCACAGCAAGTTGACAGGAAAGTCCAAACAAACAATATGCTGCTGAATAAGCTGGACAGCCCTTTGTCATGTAATGCAACCCCTTGATGACAAAAACTGATCAGATACTGGAATGTAAACATCACGCTTCAGTGAGACTATAGAGAAATGTGGAGAGCGGAGGATAAAATTCAAATGGAGAGGGTCAATATGCTGCTGCTGTGTGTGTGTGTGTGTGTATGTGCATGTGACAAAAAAAGGGCCAAAAAGGAAACAAATGCTAGTAGTGAGGAATGTTTTCTTATCACCACAGAGCTGCTCTGGCTGCTCTGATTTTGGGGACTTATCGGTGGATTAGGGCCAAGGACTGAGTGGTGATAGATTGCAGGACGGGCAGCGATGTGATAACCTTCAAAACATCCCAGCGTGAAGTGTTTAAGTGATGAGGAAGAGCCCTGGAAAGAACTTGGCAGGCAAAAACTATTTAGATGGTCTTTTAAAGTCTAGTGTGCCCTGCTCATATCTCTGCCTCTTAGGTCATCAGAACCTCAGCTGTTATGAAAAAGTTGAAGCTGTGAAATAATGTCTGGGATATTTTAAACTTTTATTGCACTGGGATGAGGTGCAGGTCAGATTCGTGTTTAGGCCAAAATTCACCTTCAAAAAGTCAGAGGTGGTAAAGTACACTAACTCAGTACTCAAGTAAAAGTGCAGGTCCTTGCTTAAAAAGTGGTCCATTACAAGTAGAACTACCACTTTGAATTTTTTTACTCAAGTTCAAATACTAAGTACATGCTCTAAAATGTGCTTAAATGCACTTAATTACTTGCCACCTGTGCAAAAAGTGAGAGACATAAGTCATGTTTCCAACTCCCAAATTGTAGGTGGTCCTAATTTCCCAGGCTTTCTGATGGCAGCATACACCTACTGTACTTTTGACACAAGCTGCAAAACAACAAGGACATAAAAACATTAACACTACAACTGAAACTTGTACAGAGCGCCGGGTCAGCCAGCTTAGAGGAGCCATTAGAACACCACTTGTTGGCAGAAGTAGATCAGCAGGGTGGCTGTGGTCAACCAAAAACAAACCACTCATTTACCTCAAACAGGCCCTGGTGGTCATATATATAGTCCATCAAGGTCAACATTACATCCACACCCAAGAGGAGCTGGTGCAGCTGCCAGCAGTCAGCATTACATCAGTGTGTGTGGTCAGAAATGTAGCTTGAGAGGAAAATCCAGGTGGAGTGTGTTTCCTGTGTTAATGTACAGAAAGTGGAGCATATAAAAATATACGCAAGACATGAACATCTGATGAAAGCGAGTCAACTGGGAGGGAAGAATGAAAAAGAAACTAACAGGGAAGCAGACACAGACAAGCCTGAGTAACCCTCAGATGAGCAAGATGTCAAGATGAAAGCGGACAGCCATTCCTTCCTTGTCGTTCTGGTAGAATACTCGTCCTCAGTGTCAGACCCATATTTCTCTCAGAGGCTTTGATATGAGGCCTTTGCACTCACCTCAAAAGGATATTACTCTTTAATGATCTCCTGATAGGGTTCCCCTCCCACACACAGCGCTGCAGACAGCAGGGAATGTGGGTGAAACTTCTAATGTCTATACACACTGACATACACTCAAACAGTGAAGCAAAGGGCACTAGAGAAAGTTCACCCACCAACTTCAAGTTAATTTACTAGTTTCACAAACAGATACACATGCATGCAGATGCAAGTAGCTGTACTCATTCATGTGGGTGCACATTCATACAAACAACAGTAGATACTGGATACAATGCATTAAATAGCACTGCAGCCTTCTGGCTTCCTGGCTGTAATCTTCCTTTGTGATGGGAGATGTTTTTATTTCAGCCAACGGCTTAAACTGATCCCATCTCAATACAAAGCCTAAAACACACTGGCTTTTTTTATGATTTGGCTCAGGGTGTTATGACTGTTGATCTGTTGAGTCAGTCTTTTGTGTAAGTATGTCAACATTCACACTCAGCTAACATTATCAGAAGCAGGTACTAACACAAAGCTTTTCATGAAAAATGTGAACAGAGGGAGTCAGAGTAAAATATAGACAAGGTTTGATGACAAGTAAGGACAAAAGAGAGACAGATGAACACTGATGTACATAGGAGCTTGAGGATTTTTCAGCTAAGCCAGGCAAATCCACAACAAACCGGTTTAGTATTTGAATAGTCAGAAGGTGTAGTGTAACGTATCAGAGGAGGAGCCGGATAAACAGCAGGATCTCCAACTGTCAGAAAACTATATGTGAGTTAATTGAATGAACTACGTACCAGAGTAATGGAAGTATTTACATGTGGTCAGAGGACAGTTAGTTCTTATGTTCTATCATGTACAGTATCATGTGTGCAGTATGAACATTCCAAAGTTCTCTCTGAGGCTGTTACAGTGTCCCTCTGACTCTCCCCTGCTCTGTTTTGTCCTTATAAGCCTTCTTAAGGACCAGCAGGGGAGTTTTCAAAGGTGAGCTGCTAAAGCATGTCAAAGCATGTTGCAGTCTCACTGACAAGCTCTGGGAATTAGGATGCCATCATTACTATATCAACTCATGTGAATCAGATTCTCTTCACTCCCTTGGCTACTTAAATAGAGGTTGTTGAACAGATAACCGTGGGAGCAATACATCTAAATCCACAGGAACTCAGCAACGCAAAAGCTCAATGTCTGTGTTTCACTCGGCTCAGAGAGTTTGGGGAATTGTTACCAAACCGCTTCTTTTCAAAACTGGTTCTTCCGGCTAAATAGGAGCAAAAGTTCTACTACGTGTTTATTTTTTTAGAAAGTTGGAAAATAGTGTTTATTTAGAACACATGGCACTTTCTCCTGACCTTAGATATTGTTCTCAGAGCACTGTTCTGTAGTCCAGCAAATGTTTTGTGTGTGTCTGCACTATGTGTTGTACGTAGATATGAGGTCTAATAAATTTGAAGAAGAGTCTGAGAAGGCCAATGTAAGCAAAGTTAACTGCCTTCTCTTACTGATTATGTTTTCACTGTAGATGATTATATCAGGGGCATGGTGGATAGCGTTGTCGCCTCGCAGCAAGAAGATTCTAGGAGTCCCAGCTGACCTGATGCCTTTCTGAGCAGAGTTTGCAAGTTCTCCCTGTGCCTGCCTGGGTTTTCTTTGGGTACTCCGGCTTCCTCCCACAAGTCCAAAGACATGCACCTTAGGATGATTGGCGTCTCTAAATTGCCCAGTAGGAGTGAGTGTGATTGTCTGTCTCTAAGTGTCAGCTCTGTGATAGACTGGCGACCCATCCAGGGTGTACCTAGCCTCTTGCCCAATTTCAGCTGGGATTGGTTCCAGTACAGATTTTGAACTTTTCTCAACTATAGCATGCAGCCAGCACAACTCTATTTGCTGTAGTTGTGTGTGCATACATTCAAAAGTCGGTGTTAAGGGGGAAAAACACCCACACACACAGGAAGAAAAAGAGAGAGAGAGAATGTGAGTGGGAGAGAGAGTTTGGGTTAAGACCAACCCCCTTTAGCTGTTGGATGTTTTACTAAAGTCTCACTTCACTCCCCCTGCATTGTCAGTTTGACCGGGACTCACTTGGCGCTCATATTTGGATTCTCCTCAGTGAGAAACAGAGGAAGTTCAGGATAAGGACCACGCTACAGCAATTTCAAGGTAATTTTGCTGTGATTCCCATGTCTGATGAAATAAGTGATAGATGATGTTCTTAATATCAGCCTTATTATTTTTTCATACATTTTTTTTTGCATGTGTGTTGTGTTTATACAGGGCAGACTGTTAGGAGAAAGACCATTAGAATTTAAAGATTTTTGTTTTAATAATGAAATTTCACTGCAATGTTTAAATGAATCCACTGCTTTATGATACCATCTCCACCTGGGGAAAAGAAAGGCTAAAACTTGAAACTTGTACTATGAGCAGTATATGGTGCAAAATTTACAAATAAGAACATTACCAAATTCTGAGATTTGATAAAAAATTGTTTTAATGTAAGTTAATGTTTTCTTAAAAGAAAACTCTGGTCATTATTCCTAAGTGAAATGCTATTATAACCCATTCTCATGCTATTATAAGATGTTGCTGTGCTAATATAACATTCTATTATAACATATTCTCTCAATCACATCTCTTCATGGATGAATTGACATAGCAATGCTGGTAGTCATTCATGATCTCCATTCAAAATTATATCAGTGGCATAGATTCAGACTGTACTTTGTGACACTCAGCTGGCAACATGGACAAATTCTGCCAAATTCTTGGCAACAGTCTGAAGTTTCCAGGCCACTTGTTAAATGTTAACATATGACTCAAGAAACAAGAGAAACATTCCCTCACACAACAGAGACTCAAAGGAATGCACCCCCAATCATCTGTAATTGTTTTCAAAATAACTTCTGAAACTAACACAACTCAACCACAACCTTCAGTCTATTTATGATCATAGTTTGAACATGCTGCTTCTGTCTTGAACCTTGCTGGTTTAAAGTATACTTGCATGTGTGAGAGACAAACACACCTCATCTCTTCTGTGAAACTGGCAAAGGTGATGCTGGAGAGAAAAGCAGCTGCATGTACCGCAAGTTAGATACAAATGGCTCTTGCATAGCAACCTTACACTGGCTGGCATCCACTTTAAACACAACTGGAAAGACTAAATGTTTGACATTAAAATGATCCCTCTGTCTTTTTGGCCTTCAGTATCACTTATTGCCCTACACATGCAAACAGCAATAATCACCCAGTCTCCTCTGTTTTAGCAAATGTCAACACTTTTGTTAGAAAATTTGCATTCAGTTTATCTATCAGCTACATACTTTACTCTGTATGTCAGAGAAATACACAGATGTTTTCATCTTCAGCAGCCACTAGCCCATGCATTGCTTTTCTGTGGAACTGTGATTCATGAATTTTGACTTATTGCATTTATGTGGCTAAATGTCTTAAATTTCAGTGTAATCTAAATTATTTCTCTTTCAAATGCATGAAAGTTCACATTGTCCATGTATTTTTCATTTAAAGGTTATATTTTTCTAATGAATCTTTAAGGATTATTTCTAATTCTGTGTTTTAGGTCTGAACCTGCTAACCAGGACAAGTGCAGCTCAAGAGCACCGTCTTCTGACAAAAAGAGAAAACATCTAAGGATTTTGGTGGATTACTCTGAATCAACTTCATGTAATCTCTTCATTTACTGAATAAGCTCTGGCATTTTTTGTATCTTTTCTGTATTTGGACTATTTCCTTACAACTCCTCCTGCCAAAACCATGTCAACAACAGTGACTTCATAGCCACTGAGTGCAGACAGCATAGAAGACAAGCAACACAAAACATGGAGGCTTCAAGTTCAGCTCATGCAGGAACTATCCCCTCAACGCCAGTAACCCCCACCTCCCCTGCACCCTCCTCTGCTGGCCACTTGCAGTTCTTCTGGGACTACCAGGACAATTCTGTCATTGTGACTCATTACAACTACACAGGCAAGCTGCAGAAAGATCGCTACCGTGAGGGGCTCAAACCTGAGAGCATTGCAATCCTGGTGGTGTGTCTGCTCATCATTCTGGAGAACGCTGTGGTGCTCATCGCTATTTGGAGGAACAAGAAGTTCCACCTGCCCATGTATTACCTGCTGGGTAACCTGACTCTGTCCGATCTGCTGGCCGGGATTACCTACATGGCCAACATCATCATGTCTGGGCCTAATACTCTGAAACTTACACCGCTGCTGTGGTTCCTCAGGGAGGGCGGCGTCTTCATTACTCTGGCTGCCTCTGTCATTAGTCTGCTGGCCATTGCAATTGAACGCCATGTTACTATGGTGACTATGCGGCCATACCATGGGGCAAAGCGAGGACGGATGTTGACACTGATTGGTGCAAGTTGGGCCCTGGCAGGGTTTTTGGGGGTCTTACCAATTCTGGGGTGGAACTGCATCCACAGACTGAGCCAGTGTTCAACAGTACTCCCACTTTATGCCAAAAGCTACATCCTCTGCTGCGTATCGGTTTTCAGTGCAATTCTCCTGGCAATTGTGGTCCTTTATATCCAGATTTTTCGCATTGTTCGCTCCAACACACAGCGCCAGCGGCTGGGCCTGTCCGGCAGCATGAGAAAAGGGTTGGCAAGGAAGTCACAGAAGTACATTGCCCTCCTTAAGACAGTGACCATTGTGCTGGGTGTTTTCATTGCCTGTTGGCTGCCCCTCTTCCTCCTCCTCCTCCTGGATTTTTTCTGCCCCACCCGCAGCTGCCACTTGCTCTACAAGGCTGATTACTTTCTGGGAGTAGCCATTGTCAACTCGCTCCTCAACCCCATCATCTACACCCTGACCAGTAAGGACATGAGGATAGCCATTCTGAGGCTGCTCTGTCGGCCATGTCTGATGACCAGAGATGGCCAAGTAAAGAAGATTGGGATGCCATTCCTGGAGTGCAGTTTCAGTAAGACTGAGGTGGCCTCTCAGAAGTTAGATGGGGCATTGGAGACAACCATTTCCTCTGGGAACGTTATCACCACCCCATCTCCAATTAAAGCTCTTTACCCCAAACTCTTCAAGTCATAAGAACGTAGACAGACTAAGTCCATAAGTTTGTGACTTGGTTTGAACAGAGGACATGTAGCACAACCTTCTATAGTGAGAGAGCAGTTCTGGTATTCTCAGATTTGGAGCACAGCCAGAAACAGATGCCATATGGAATATTATGGAGGAATCCAACCATCAAGGGGTCATGATAGAATCATGTTTAAGCAAACTTGTCTCAACTTGACAGGTCAGAGGTGGTGCAGTTACAGCATTAGAGCCACTTTGATTGTGAGATGACCACAAAACAAGAAGCCAGGAGGATGCCACTTAAATGTGAACAAACCACTTTTTTGTATGTGAAGATGCAAAGTCTCCTGAACTAATTTGCACTGAAATATCACAATGAATAGCCAAGCAACCTTGGATTCAGAAGAATTTGGTGCTCTAGTTGGTGTGGAAGCGTGGAAGGAAAATCCTCTGTAAACCTAAGGACTGTCATGAATGAAAAAATGTAAATCTGTAATTTTCACAGAGACTCACTGGGTTAAAACATGGCTGTCTTTGCCACTTTTGCAGTTTCTTGCTGAAGTGCCTTAAATAGATTACAAACACTTCTATTATATGCAGTGAGTAATCTTTGCATATGCACGCACCTGGATTTTGCTTTTTAGATGCCCCACAGTGTGCTAGATTTGTTATGAGGAAATTATGTAGAGCAACCCTACACATATCTGTGTAGGCGATGCTGCGGGGAGACCAGATAAAAGGAAAAGACAGGTGGCACTTACTCTTATCTGTTCTTGCAAACACAGCTTGGTGAAGAATGTTACGGTAGAGCTGTGAGAAGGAAGGTAGAAATGAAAACCACCACTGTTTTAAAATGACAGACGATAAACCTATCTGATACCAAGTGGAAAACTACAAAGATACGGTGTCCAAGTTATGAAATGTCAGTCTGATCCACAGAAAAACCTCAACAAAAACAACAAAATGTCATCACAACTACAAATATGTTTCCTTTCCATTGTGATACACAGATACAGTAGCTGTACTCTAACTGTAACCAACTCAGCTGTAACTGTATCACTTGTGTGTATAAGACCAATAGATTGTTGAGTCAGAGATTGTTGTGTTTCAACTTGCAAATAAAGTTTGAATTAATTATCATCACTCGGCTGCACCACAAGGTTTTAGAACAAGAATGTGTCTGCACTTGAAAGGAAAATTATGAGGACAGATTCATCACAGTGCAACTATTCCAGTACTTTCTTTCACTTTTCAAACAGAACATTTCTGGTTATAGGTTAAGGTACTGCTCTTTTTTATGAAATGAGTTTGCCAACAGTGTTTTTATGCAGATGTGTTGGTCTTTCTGGGCTTTAACTGATGAATGAGGCAGTGTGCTTTTTGTACTGTAGTGAACTTTAAGTATTTTTGAAGACTTTCTATATCATCTATATTGTAAATTATATCTATTTTGTAACAAAAAGGGCTATACTTTTCTTTTCATAAAAGAAATAAAATGTTTTCTTAAATCAATCTAAAGTTTGGGTTTATTTTCATTATGAAAAGATGCATTTCTGTATATTTCTTGTTGTTTATCTGAGGTTGTGTGACTGGCAAAACAGTTTTTGAAGAAGCACCAGAGGAAGTCAGCCCCCTTGTTTCACATCTGGTAATGGCATTGGCCTACATACAGCAGGCTCAGGCGCCACACCGTGCAGCTTTTATTCAAATACTCCATTGTCTTTTTCTCTACTCTGTCGACCTGTGGGTACGCTTGGCCATCACCTCACCATGATCTGCTGTCCACACTAGTTAAGATTGAAACAGAGAAAGATTATATACAGCTGATTTTAATGTTAGTTCCCAGGAGTTGCACCTTCTGTAGACAGAACAAACCCAGTAGCCTGTTAATTCAGCTAAAGTTTGTGTATTTTCCTGCATTATGCACTGCTAAAAGGAGCCTCTTAGTTCCAGTCTTGGGCAAAGTTCAAGAAACATCTTGGGTGGATTTTCAGTTGACATTTTGGCTTATACAATTAAAACCCAGCTACATGCCACAAAAGGCAAGACCAACAAATGTGAACTGTAGTTGTGATGTACTTCGCTATTTTGTAACCACAAGTTATGGAGATTTGTCACAAGTTATGGAGATCTGTCACTTCTCGTATAACCTGTTTTTAAATATAAAACATTATTACGGTTACAAATGCCTCTCACCCTAAATGTAAGTATGCTGTGGCTAAGCAATCATTTATAGTATGTGCACTGTATGTGCAGTAGCTTTTTAACTTAACACACCTCTCAGAGGAAACTGACTATGCTAATTCACTTTTAACCCTCAGTGACCCAAAGATATCAACAATAACCAGCCTTTATGTAATTTGCATAGGTGCAGATGTTCTACCAGATGTTGGATGTATCTATCAGCATTGCTCTTCCTGACAGAGGTCAACAAGTCAGGGTGTCTTTCCTGTCCCCTGCTTCCTCCTGGTGCTGAAATCATATAACAGACAGGACAGGTAGAAGTCATAAGTCATCTGTCACGGTCACCATGACCAGTCCTAACCACAGGCTTGTTTTACAGATGCGTGCTGCACTGTTCCTTGCTCCACACCCTACAGAGCTTTGGCTTGTCTAGTTAATGTGTTAAATAGAAAACGTGGTATGATGTATGAAAGTAAAATACAAACTGATCCTAGAGCAATATATGAGTGCAGTTTTAACCCACAAATCCATGAGAAGTAGACAGACAGCATAACGCCTGTCTGGGATTGTCCATTTGGTGCCCCGAGGCTAACCTCACCTATTTGTTCAATGCACGGAGTGAGAGCTGATTCCTTGCTCAGCTGGGCAACTATAAGTGAATGCTGATTCAAGGCTCGTCACATCATATCAGGGTTCTTCAGGGTTCTGTTGATGCTTTATGAGGCAGTGGCTGCGGCTGAGGAGGTAGGAGTCGCAGATGGCTGCCTCAGTTCTGTAATGGAGACAAGTTCCTTGTGTGTGTAATATACTTGGCCAATAAAAGTGATTAAATTAAATTACTGTCAGCTTCACTGAGCCTAAAGGATTAGAGATATAATCTTAACATTGATTATTTAGTTTAACCAGCTGTGAATCCAAGCTATAAATATTTTGTACTATATAGCTTATACTATATTACTTGGATGTAAATTTCAAATGATTTGTCAAGTATTTTGAGCTTTTAACTCAAAGGGGATTTTTGCTCCTGCAGCCTCACAGTTGGCTTTTAATGCCACCTTGTGGCTGTTAACCAGAACAGAGTACACAGTATACTGTACTGACCTGAATTACGTATTTTGCAAGAGGGGAAAAACTTAATGGTATGTCACCACCTTCCTGGAGCAAGCAGGTTTCTCTCAAGCTGTTTTGCAGTATTGGAGCCATTCACCAATATGGATGAAATATGGACAGAAGTCTGACAAGCAAGGTAAGCTGTATATAAGCCTACAAATGAAGAAGCAATCTCAATTATGGGGTTATAAAGGACATTATAGCCATGTCTCTTGCGCACCATGTTTACATTTAACATCATTAAACAGAACAACAGAATTTTCAATCATTCCCTGCTGAGATTTCAGTGGTTGTTCACATTTCATTAAAGTGGTGTTAATGAATTCGTCCTTGTATAGACTGAGATTAACCTTTAATTGCTCCTACTGAATACCCTTTTCAACAAAGTGTGGCAGACGCATTTGGAATTTATGGTGTAGGTGGTGTTTATTTGAAACAGATTTGATTGACGTTAAAGCTACAGTTTTGAGCTGTCTGCCAACAAATTACCTTGCTTTTCCCTCACTGTAAGAACTCCTTCAAAACAAAAGCCTCCCCCTTCGGGACGTATTTCATTGCCATTACTCTCCTACGGAGAAGAGTTCCGCGCTGTGGAGATAGGCTCTTATTGTGAAAGCAAGGGGAGGCCGGCACAATGCTTAGTCACGATGAGTTACAGCTTTCCCCCTCCTTCCGATGTGGCGCACAGCTCAGCACAGTGCGATGGAGAAACTGAACTAGACTAGGTGAGTTTCTTTTATTACAGATTTAAATAAGCAGTTCTAATTAATATTTGGATAGATTTGAAAGGGAGCAGGTGGCTGGTAGTTAGAATATGTTTGGATACCGTTTTGTTAGCATGCTTGTGGTCGAATCGGTTACAGCCGTTATGCTACTGTCTGTTTTTGGAGCCTATTTTGCTGTCAGCTCTGTTTCGGAAACGTTTAACTTATGTGAGGAGTCTCCGGCTGTTTGCCATGGACGCATTGAGTTCACGTTCCCTACAAACCAAATAGATGATTTAATCGATTCTGCTTCACTTGTATTACCATTATTTTAGGTGCATGCCAGCGCTCTGGGTGAATTTGATCAAAACAAATGATCAGTGTGTAAATGACTGGAGCGGAAGGCATAGAGGTGCTTTGTCTGAAAGCTCACTGTTGGGTAGATGGCGCGGAAATCTAATTCCATCTGGCGTTATGTAAGGACTGGCTTCACTTGTGGGTCATGTTTTGGTAAATCCAGTTCCACTGTTGGCTTGGTGAAGAGTCCGGGGTGAGTCACCGAGGAGAGCTCTTCGCCAAAATGCACACGAAACACGTTAAACGCCGCTGTTTGTTCCACACTTGGCTCGTCCTCGTTTGCCCGCTTTTAGCCTTAAAGATGCTGACACAGCTGTGAAATGTTTCCCACGAAGCGCAGCTTTTTTTAAACTGTAAAACGTTGAAGTTTGAGTCGCTCCATTTATTGTGCAATACCCACAATAACCCGTGACATCCAAGAATCACAGGCCTGAACGGTGGTCCCCGACCCGGGGTCGTTGGAGCTGTTACGGAGCCCCAGATTAATGCAGGATGTGATTAAATCTCATTTTTTCATCCCACCGCACTGCCAGAGAGTGTGTGGCTGGGTCAGGGGGTTCACTGCACCCACTGATGTTCCCACTTCATACATATTTAAACCAAACGTGTGTCCATGTTAGGGTTTAGTCCCCCTCACCTGGAGGGTGAGGGAGAACCGGGGTTGGACTCAAGATGGCTGACCCAGGTGCTAGTACAAAAAAAGGTGGTTTAATGGAATAAAAACAACATGACAACAAAACAGGGTCCATAATACATACAACAAGGGAAGGGCAGTGATGACTAAGGAGACCAGGACGGTAAACACACAAACTAACG